CCACCACCACCACCCCCACCACCACCACCACCACCACCACCACCAACACCACCACCACGGTGGACGTTGTCAGAATCGACGGTCTAACTGTTGAATCCGTTGATCGTTGTAAACTAATGTTAACTGACACACTGCAGCAGTCAGTATGTTTCAAAGTTATTTAGCAATTTATTTGGATTTAGAGAGGCAGTCAAAATCAATGATAAAAACGCATTCAATTTAAGTAGTTACTTTTTAGAGTACATACGCTTTAATAGTGATCAGAACGAACCTCGTTAAAAAGCCCCCATGCAGTCATGACAGAAATAACTCCAGAGTAGGCTACACGATAATTAGTATCACAACTTGAGTCAATGCGGATAAGCAAAAGAGTATCATTCTTTCGCAAATATCGACATGTTGCACGAATTCTGGCCCGTACTATGGTTTATGTTCCAGAAATTATTTAAATAATGTTATGTTTTCGCGAAAAGGTAACACGCTATAGATGAACACAGAAATTTATCTATATTTATTACTTACTCATAGTTCATCGACTGCGACAAACGTGGTCACTTGTTACTTACTTTTAGTTATAGTGCACTTTGTTGTTGGCCAACATTACGGCATTTAAATCATTATTCCTGCTTTTTTCTACTTTTTGAACTTTATTTTTTATTCATATTTCCTTTCTTTCATACTGGCCAGATTGTTTACTGGTTATTTCACCCGGTTCTGTATTACAGAAGGACGGGGCTTTCGGGTGCTGATCTGGGATATAAACTATGATTCTATCAATAATGTTTTCCTGTTTGTAGGTAAGCGGAACCCATAGGTCCTTTGAAAGAAAACTTATGGCTATCGTAAAGCCAGGGGAGGGTAACTGAAAACTCGCAAATTATAGGAATTGCCATTTTCTAGGAACTCTTATTGTTATTAAACCTCACAAGGAGACAAAGTTGTAATGGCTAACAATGTTTTATCTTACACATCAAAGGTTTTAGGCCTTCATTCGTACTTGTGGCTATCAACATTTCTAACATCTGCTTGTGGTAAGTTCTATAATAGCAACACTAGTGCACTCAGAAATAACAGAATTGAAAGTACTTTACTTGTCAGGGTCAAAAATCAAAGGAGTCCAAAGCAAGGCTTGACATAAAAATTAACAACCCTCAATTATGAGGCTAAATTATCGGGCAATAAAGACATGCTCGTTGATTTTTTTACAATTTACAATTTTGAAATTCCGCAATTATGACCCTCCACAATAAATAGTGAAAATCTATGCTATTTAACGTGTTTTTCCTTCTCAACGTTAAAAACCAAAGGGCTGCAATGTAAGGACAAACATAGAAAAGGCCCGTGCTCAGTTATAGGACTAAATTAATGTGCAGCGACGATAGATTTTTTATTTTTTTTAACAAATAACAATTTTGACATTCCGTTATTACGGTAATGGACGATAAATCTTGAACGTATATGCTAAGGAGACCCATAATAAGGCCAAAACCTTTTTTTCTGTACATGGAAGATTTGACGCTATGAAATATTTCCCTGACATTATTTTTGGGCTTAACGGAAAATCAGTGAAATGCATCTTTTGGGATTGTCACCTTTCGTATTTATGTGCATTTTTTTATCAGATGACATTTTAAAATTTAAGGTGTCTGTTATAATGGTCCCTATATCACAACTATGTCCAAATGTACGGGTTATGTACATTGAGTAATTAGCTTTACTTGTATTGCTAACTTTCGCAAAGAAGTAACGTGACTGTTGTTTGCAAATTTCTCTCAAGTCTGATGATGAACTGGGGATCCAGTGTCGAAAATTTACGCAATAAACTACCTATTTCCCAAAGGATGCCTTTCCATTGAAAGTAACGTGACTGTATTTCTGGATATATTTTTACCCAATCCCGTTTTGTTAGCATGCATGGGAGGCAATAACGTAAAAATGCGTGCATAAGTGCTTTCTTTAGGCAACATACAGTAAACTATTGAATGTCTTCTTCGAATTTAGATTTCTTTCTCTGCAACATCACTGTGTATATCCTGTTTTGTCCTCCAGAATGTATATCGTATGAATTTAAAAAAGGTTTAACGTATTTTTTACAAATACCCAAAGCGTTTAAGCTAATATTTCCGCGAGAATTTCAAAAGATTTTCAGTAACAACAAACTTTTATAATTTGCTTTAGTTTACTCCACTGACTTTAATATGATTTTCTGAAATTAAAATTAGTAATTTAGAAATTGATAGCTAATTTCTGCATGCGTAACGGAAATGTGAGAATTTTGTGGTGAAACTGACGGATAACTGACTCTCGTGAAGTAGACTCGTGCAGTTTGTCAAACTTCAGTAGAAAGACAAATCCAAACTTACTTGTGTTGCACTGGAGGTAAATTAATGGCCTTTTATTACGCTATCCTGTTGCCTTTTGAAAATTATTCTCTCCTATCTATTATGAGCACTTCCGACTGCACACATTTTCATCAATTTTGGGGAATTATCATAACCATTGTCAATTGATTGTACCTCCAACGTGGAGCAATTGCATCGACTTAATAAACACTACTTAAACATCTCTTTACAATAGGGACTACGTTTTACGTCAGGTAAGTTTATAATTCTACATACTGGTCACGTTTGCATAGGAAGATTAAATATGATGGGACGTCATGACAAAATCAAGTAATTTAAACATGTAGCAACTAAGTATCCTTGTGAAACCCTATCTACAATATTTCACTTTTTGGGCTTCTTGTGTTTTGTTTACTTTACATTGCTAATTTTTATTTAAAAAGACTATGCGGTTTAGAAGAAAAATGCCTTACAGCTTGCTTTTAGGTGTTATATACTTCAATTCCACGTTGGATATGAATGTAGTAAGTTACAGTTGGAATGAATTGGAAAAAGTTCTCATGCGTGCTTACACCAATCCATACCTTTTGTGTTTCACTTGTTTGTGAGCCGGCTTTCAGCCTAGAATTTTTACATTCATAGAATAGCATTTTACATGTTTGAGATTAATTTTTGCAAAGAGGGTTTTGAAAAAAGGAGAATGGTGGGCTATGTTTCTAAGAACATAATCATTGCCTTCCTCATTTAAATTTTTGTCTGTTTTATATCAGAAAAAACATTTTATTGGTTGATGCACCTTTTCTGTACTCTTGCAAGGGGTTTGCAGAATTAAATCCTTTATTTCTACATACTGGATTCCACTTTGTGTACACAAGCTAGAATGACAATTGCTCCTCTTGCTTTTCGTTTTCAGGCACATTCAGGCAGGGCAGAATTTTGTGAGGAAAAACAGCTGTAAAATCAAAAGTAAATGAAAGTGTTCCGTCTAATCTGATGCGCACATTTGTACATGATTGCGGAATCACTAAACCATACAAAATTTTTCTTTCTGCCATACTCAGTATCGGTATCCAACTGTTTTTTTTAGAGAATAGGAGGATGGTCTCTATTGGAAACAAACAGAACAATCTAGTTTCTGCACTTTTCACTCGGATGTCGGTATGAAGGGGGTGATTGTCACTGCTCTGATATCTCAGAAATTGGAATACCAGTAGGCGCTTTATACTTCTGCCCATCTCCGTGTGTACAAACGGCCGATTGGTAAGTCTGACGCAAGCGCGAACGTTGGGTGTTCAATTGATACCGCTTTACACAAGGAAGACATCCAATTGCATTGAGGAAGCCGTTCTTAAACCTGCGATAGAACAAAAGAACATTTCCTTAGACGAAGGATGCATAAAGTATCAAAAATAAGGTTACTTTTAGATTCAGTAGCCCAAAGGGCCTATTTTTCAATCAGTGCAAGAGTTGTAGTTTATTTTCGATCCACGAATGAAGGAGAACGTTCGCGTTCTAGGTATTTGTGTGGGTGCAGAAGAAGGATGGTCGAGCACGGGATCGGCTTGTTTAGCATGC